TCCTGCCTAATAAAATCAATAGTTTCCCATTGCACAAAGGTGGTGATCTCAGTGAAAACTTCATTATTATTTATTCATTATTCATTCATTATTTTATTTTCATGCTCTCCAGTAAAATTGCGAGGTGACAGTACCCACACACGTCTCTGCATCTCTAAAAAATAACGAAGTTAGTTTGCTCAGTCTCGAATGTTTTTCTTGAACGATGTATTTTGAGGCATCGTGTATACGTTCCTCCTAATTCGTTCCTCATTGAAATCCCACGTTGAAATGTTAGATCACCTCATCGTTAAACTGTCATGTATTTTTCCTAATAATTGTATTCTAAGACACCCCCTAAATTTTTTCTATGTTTACAAACATCTGGGATGTTTCAATCTTAGGCATCTCCTGATGATGAAAATTATCTTCTGATTTTAGTGATACTAAAGTGGGTAACTTACATAAACACTCTTGAACATTACTTCAATGAAAATGAAGTACAAAAATGTTTCCAAAATTCGTATAACTTTTTGTCAATTGAAAAAGGGGGTCTTGAAATATTCTGCTTGATAGGTTTTTCAATTATCTATCCAACATTTTTTCATTTTTGAGGATCCTATCAGCCAATTCTAAACGATGTCATATACCTACTTCACACATGAAAATCAACGCAATGAATTTGACATAAATTCCTCACTCTAGGACCTTTTTTTTAATTACACGTCAAATGTCTTATGGAAATTCGATTTGGGTTTCTATCATAAACGTATTACTGTCTTTCTGCTATGAGTTAATCGTTTTGAAGCGCATTTTGAAACACCAAGTCACTCAGTATATGCGTTTAATATTTTTTTGTAGCAATAAAAATGCGTTTTTTCGAAGTGGTTGAAGTGTCCAAAATTTTGATTAGCGAAACACCATAAATAACAAAATGATAGTACGCTTCAAATAAGCCGCACTGTAAACGATCTGAAGGAAATCATTTCGAACTTTTGAATACTATTGATAAACTATAAAAAGTCGTACGACTCGATATTTCATTTTTCCAAGTTTTTTCCAATCGATGGTTTGAACAACAAAAAAAGATATTCAACATAAGTTACTTCACTTTATATCATAAAGACTCTTTCTTTCAAGTAAACTCAAAATATCTCATGGAATTTCATTTTTCTCTAGGTCTAAAGAAATTTCGATGATAGTTCATATCATAAAGTTTACTGTCTTTCTTTCATGCGTAATTTATCTTAAGGCGTATTTTGAAACACTAATTCATTCTGTATATGCGTTTATATTTTTTGGAAAATATATAGCAATAAAACAACGTTTTTTCGAAACGACTGAAGTTTGTTACTGAATGATTGTTTCAACACATTGAAATTCTGCTAAATATTTCATGCGATTATAGCGACGGAAATGAGCGTCTTATCGCACTTTATTTTTAATATTTTTTTGAAGCGATTCTCATGTCAATTCTGCATTATTTTGCATACATTTTTTTCGTTGCGATTAAAGTGACAAAAATTACCTTTTCAACGCATTATATTTTAAAGAAATTTTCATGCGTGTTTTCGCGACAGAAATTTACGTTTTATCGCATTATATTTTTGTGAAATTTTCGATACGCACATGTCAACTGATGAGATCAAATGGTTGTTAGTTCGTCATTTCCTGACGATGCCAACTTAGTTAGAGATCATAAATGACAATTGATATTACAACAACTTATATTAATTTTTATGTTGTTTACCAACATCTGGTTAACTATTCCTGATGATGCTAGTTTGGTTTGCGAAGATGCGTTCAGTGCCCTTCTGGCATGTTGGATCGCACGTTAAAATTTTAGGTCCTCCTAGTCGTGCCGTATTCCTAACCCTTCATGTTGCGCATTCCATCTATGTTTTTTTCTTTGTCATCTCCTGATGATGTCAACTTGGTTAGCAAAAACACCGATGAACGACAAATAGAGTCACACACTCTATACGTTCCTCATTAGAAAATTGGGGGGCGGATCGCACGTTCAAACGTTAGAGTCCCGTTAAACTATCATGTTTTTTAAATGATGAATTTTTCCACACTTTGTACACATTGACCTCATATTTTTTTGTTAAGTGATGTATTTTGACGCACCCTATACACATTGAGCGATCACACGTTGCAATGTAAGAGCCCCGGAAAACTGCCATGTTTTTCTCAAATAATGCATTTTGTCGCACCTTGTACACATTGCCGTCATGTTTTTTTTTCTTGATGTATTTTGAGTCACCCTGTACATATGACCGCACGTTAAAACGTTAGGGCCTCGTTGAAACGTTAGGGCCTGTCATGCTGTTTCTCGCCACAACATTTTTGAATACAAATACGTTTCTTATTGGGATAACAAGTTGAAATGCTACACTCCAGTTAAACTACCATGTTTCTTAAACGACGTATTTTGAAGCACCCTGTACACATTGAAGGACCGGGTGTTGAAATGTTAAGACCCAGACACGAAAACGGTTGAAAAGCATGTAAAACTATGAATTTGGAAATGACATTGCTGAATACTCTACTCCCCCATTGACCTATTTCCGAACTCCACAACAAATTTGAATATAAATACGTTGTTTCTCATTGGGATTGCACGTTGAAACGCTTTACCCCTGTTAATCTGTCATGTTTCTTAAACGTAGTAATTTGAGACCTCCTGTACACATTGAAGAATCACACGTTAAAACTATAGAGCCTGTTGAACTGCCATGTTTTTTCTTGAATGACGTATTTCGAGACACCCTATACACATTAAAGAATCACACGTGGAAACGATAGAGTAGGTTTAGGTTAGGTCCAAAGTGAGTGGGTATATTCGACCCTCCACCGCAACCCGCAAGTGTTTATTGTGGCTCACACCTATTCACACTCGACCAAATAAACCCACTTTCTCAACGAAACCGATTAGTTTGTATGGTGAATGGTCTTTCAGGTCAGATAGTAAGAGTACGGCTCTGCCGAACTCTAAAAACCTGATTCGGTCCCCAGCGGGGAAGGCACAAAGTATATTATCTGCTGTTTCATCGTTAATGAGGTAGTCGGATAGTCAAAGTGCAAGATTCCCACCTTGATACCCGCGATAACCTTCCCATATGAGGGTTTTTGCACGTCAACTACACCTGACGATGCCTTAGATTTAACCGTGTAGGGCTTTTTCACCTCTGGTTTTGGTGAATCATCACTTGAGCGCAAACGTTTGCTAACCTGCTCATGGGGGATTTGTTCCTCCACCTGAGACAGATTCTGCGTACGCCGCTCAAGAATTTGGTACAAGACAGTTTCATAAGGTACCCCGCTCTTGACAAGACGACTCGGTCGTTACCTGGCTGCACCACCAAAACTTTTTTTTAGGTTATGTTATTGGATCAGGAGTTGGAGAGAAGCTCTTTTTTAAAAAATTTCTTCACACTATTTTTTCTTTCTCTGGATTGTTGGCCATATAAATCACTAAAGAATTAATTCCAACGATATTTAGAATGGTATGAAAAATTACCATTGGCCATCTTTGCGTTTTTCTTGAGGTGTTATACGTCGAGCAAAGCTCGACCTATCGAAAAGTAATACTCTTGTCCCCCTTCTACCACATCTACTCCACATTTATATTTATTGTGATATGTTAATATGTTATCTCATCATCGTCTTGCAAACTTGGTGCTAGTATCACCATTTTATTTATTTTTTTAATATATGACATGTACATTTGTCACTAAAAGCAAACATGCTAAAATTTATTGGACGAGATGGCTGGAGTAACTCAGGATATAATTCTCGTTTGTTTTTTCTTATTGTTCCAACAACCGTCAATGAGAAATCTTTTTTTTAAGTGGCGATAAGAGGGATACTGGTAAACCAATTATCTAATGTTACGTTGCGCCCAGAACCTTGTATTGGCTCACATAATCTTTTGACAAATTCTTTGCCTGAATTATCTACTGAGAACGGCCCATCGGCCTGTCGGCCACATTCACTTGCATATTTGAAGTGTAGTACAGTTTCGCATCGTACATTGCAAATATTTCAATCCCGTATTTGGCGGGAAATGAATCTCCGATAGAAACACTGCTCATACGATACAACTGTGACACTTTTCTCGACGTGTGTTTCCCAAACCAAATTGGCACTGTCAGGAAATCCGATTCATACTTTCGTTTATATTTATCTTTTCTTCAATTTCATTAAATTTTTTTAGTGTTGTTGATTTTGAAATGTTGTTTTTTTTAAGTAAAAGTCGAGTTGCTTTCATTTTTATCAATGTCGATGAAATTTCGGTAAGACAAAACTTTATTTAAGAATCTAATAATTTGGTCAAAATCTTGGAGTTTCAAAAAAACCGTTTGTTCATTACAAAAATCTAGATTAATTAATTTGACGTTCATATTTAGTACTATAATGAAACAGTCAAATATTCTGCAACTTTTTATAGTGATAGTGGATTAATCTTCCAAATCTTCTTGGCATCAGTTTGATGTATAAATTGAAACTAGAATGGAAAAAAATGAAAACGTAATTTAAATCCAAAACAAGAACTATTCCCAAAATAACAACTGCAAAATAATTTAACTTCATCTTCTAAAGACTAATTTTATTGGTAAAATGCGCATCGAGAAGTAATACTCTTGTCTCCCGGAGATGAAACTCAATTCATCTCCTGAAGACGCCAACTTGGTTGGTAAAACACGCATTGGAAAGAGTATTGCAGTTCTGATGTTTGAGAGAGTGATGTTTTGGATTAATTCTACACCAGAGGTTCCGGATCTATCTTTCAATATTAAATTATAAAGATATAATGATACATATTGAGTTGTTTGTCCTAAAGTAATTTTGACCATCAAATGTTCGCAATTACCTACAGCTATTTTTCTGTTCATTATGGTATTCAAGGTTTGTTTTGCGTTTGCAATTGTATATTGAAAGCAGTTAACTCCTGTGACCTTCTTCAATAAAAAAGATTAATCTTGAATGAATCATCCAAATTCTTGAATAATTTTCAGCTCATACGATGAGGGGAATGAAGATCTCCTTTCACAGCACTTAGATGGAGCATTTGACGAGGATGACCCTGCAGAACTAACAGATGACAGCGATGAATGTAGCATTTAGCATGACTGTACCCATGTTTAACATCACTAAATAATTAATCTAGTCTTCGTAAAATTGAGTATCTCCCCACACTTAGTAGTAGGGCTAAACCATCAGAAGTTTTTGTGGTCAGGAAATAGAGGAGAAATATTTGAAGAATTCTTCGCAAGGACCTCAATTCAAAAACTTATAAACTGAGATTTTTTAACAAAGATTTTATTTGTCTATTATGGTGTTTTTTATCTTTTGCTTAGACTTCATCAGGTACAAATCCAAAATACTTTGAATCTCATTCAGAATGAATGAGATTCAAAAAGATGAATGTTTTATATTATTTCTAAGTAAAGCATAGCTAGAGTAAGGTGGACGAAAATTAATGGAACTTATATAGTTTTTCAAAGAAAACAAGGCAAAATGTAGTGACGAATGAAAAGTTTGATATACCTAGCAAGTAATAGGAGTTAGAAAATCCCAGTAGCTTTTTTCAAGTAGATCCTACTCTATTATTAAGAATATTTACTAATACTCATAAATTAGTATTTTGGAAATATTATATTTCAACTGATCCGTTTTTTGCGGTTCCAACAATTATAAAACAGCCTGCAAACTAGCAAAGTAATGATCTTTCATTGATATAAATTTAAAATTACAAGTACCTTATGATAGTGGTAGCCTTTAAAGAAATTTATTAGGCACCAAGTGAAAAATTTATTGAGAAAATGCAAAAAAAATTCCATTGGAATAAATTTCACTAAACCATGTTATCCAGTGTGATCTTTATATTTGAAGCAGAAAGTATTTTGTACGTACGTAAACTGTTGTCAAGTATTAGAATAGAAAATTGTATGTTGTTTATTCACAGATGTAAGCTTTGAAGTTTTTCTTTAGTTTTAGACCAGTTAGTAGGGAATGAACAGGCTTGCCGAAAATTTGGTTGGAGGAAACATATTGATAGAATTTATAGTTTTGAAATCAGGGAGAAAGATGGCAACCAGAGCTCAAACACAAAGCATTCATGATTCAACACCACAGATGTTATCAAACTCACTGAAAAAGTTAGATGTTGAATAGAATATGTTTTGAAATATATTTTGTATTTTTTTACATTTCTGACTTATGATGCACTGCTTGGAATCTTTGGTGTAGTAATGGATATTACTGGAGTTTCTTGCCAACACCAAATCGTTATTTTTAACACCCCAACACGTGTTTCATCTTCAAGAGGAAGATTAAACTTAATCTTCCTCTTGAAGATGATTACTTGGTGATCAAAATACGTGTCGGGTTGTTAAAAATAACGATTTGGTGTTAGGAAGAAACTCCAGTAATATTCATTTCTGACTTATTTGAAATTGACATTCACTTTTTTTGCAAACATCTGTACTGCTATTGAGAAGTTCTTAGCAGTTGTCCATGTGTTCTGATAAATCTGACTCATTATTGAGTTCCAAGAGACTAGTCCAGATGCAGGAAACAATAAAAAATATTACTGAGGGAAACATTTAATTGAGGTTTAAATTAGCAAATTCTACACTTCATGTGAGAATTTCACTGAACAGTATACAAAACCTCAACACGATTCACTATATAAGGCTTCCTCAGGCGTATATACTATTCTACTACTTCTAGTATGAACACGCCGAAGGAAGCTATTGTGAAGCAAAACATATGTTGCGGCTTTGTAAACTGTTTAGTGAAAGTCTCATATTATAGATTTTCATCAAGTATCAATCAATTCCGTCACTTGTCTTATCAACATTCCCTACCAACTGATTTTCAGGACTATCATTTTATCCTTTGACTATCTTTTCAAATAATCTCGGTTACATGGTACTCAAAGCAGTACGAATTAAATATTTTTTTGATTTGCTAAAAGGTATTTCATTTAGTTTCATAGGAAATTTTTGCTAAATGCTGAGATACGAGAGCTAGAGTAGTTAATAATATTTTGTCAGGAACAATTGATATTTTATAGCCCAAAAAAATTTATCAGTCTATGAATCTCATAAATATAAAAAAAAAATGTATGAAAACTTTTCATCATTCTTATTTCAAAGATATTTTATATGTCAATAAAGTACAGCGAAATCATAGCTTTAGTGTAAATGACATTGATTTGTTTTTCAATCAATGGTTTCTTTAAGAATATCATGCAGAGCTAATTGTTGGATTTGTATAGTATAGTTTATTTAACAAATTTATTTAACTTTTAATAGTATGAATTGACAGTCATTTTTATTATTCATATGTATTTATCGAATTATGTAACATTGTATAAAAGTTGTTTTATCATTGTAGTTCACTTAATATATTAATGGTTTTCTCTTGTTTATAATTTTTTTGGTCAATTTTTTGTTATCTTACATAGTCCCCTGAGTAAATAACAAGAACAGGTCGTTTTAAAAAATACAAGTAAGTATTTCTCTGGAAACAACCGACTTTTCTGCCTCAACTAACATTGAAGAAAAATTCCCAAGTTTTGGATATGAAGCAGCCATTCTGTGGCATAAAGATAACCCAAATATTTTACAAAATAATGTGTGGAAGGGTTTATCAAAAGCCAAAGAATGGTGTGATGTGGAATATCTATCTATCTTTAAACATATCTAAAACCAATATATTTATTTTTAAATGCTTTTTAGATTACAAAATTATTGATTTCAAACCAGTAACATGAAATTAGACTTCCATTTATTTAACAAACTTTATCACATTACTTAATTATGTAAAAAAACTCAAATTGCTATGCCATAAGAGCTATATCAAATTCTTTAAAATATGTTTCAGGAATGAATAAGTAATTTGTGTTCTTTGAATGCATTTCCATTAATTTGGGTTAGGAACTCTCAAAACCTAATAAATTCTTCATCTATTCTTCAGAAAAGGGTTAAGGTGGTGTATATGTGTAAAAGTTAGCAATGCATGTATTTCATGTATCGATTCATCTTGACAAATTCTGAATTCAAGAGTATTGCTAATAGTGTTCACTACAATAGCTATTGATAAAAAAAATCTGTTTTTTCATTAGATAGCTGTCGCCCCCTACAATAGACAACCTTCAAAAGTAGAAAACTGTGCGAGTTCAAATTTTAGTGAACATGACTGATCTACACGAGTATAAAATCTTCTTGTAGTGCTGTATGATCAATAATCCCTAAAACTGACAACTATAACCATATCTTACATACAAGAAAAAAGCTGAATAAATCTTCCAGAATTATAAATAAATAATCACTATTAATGCTGCAGAACCACTTTGCAAGCTTGCAATTCATAAATTATTTTAAGGTCACAATTTAGGAAAATGATGTAAACTATTCTTGAATGTTCAGTGCTTTGCTTAGTAACTGTTAGACTTGCAAAGACCAAATTGATATCACACACGTTTTATAAAATTTGCTTTTGAAAAATAGTTATTTCATTAGTCCCAAGAAACATTAAATAATAACAAAGTATTGCATCAGTCACTACGCAGCTACCCAGGAAAGACTCAGCATATTCAGCACATTTTCAAGGCTTTTCTAGAATATTCAAAGAAACGCACATCTACAGTTCCTGATCCTATAAATATGGGAGGACAAGAGAACGCCACATTCTTGAATAACTTCACGACTATCCATGGTCGTTGAATCTTGAACCACATTTTGTAAACTATCTTTATTGTAATTCAAATTTGTGTTCAATAAAGTTTATTTTTAAAAAGATAAATTCAGTGAAAAGCACATAACAGGAACTTATTTACATAAGTTATCTCCGTCATAAAAAATACATTTTTTTACCAAATTTGCCTTTGTATGGTTGTGAAACTATATTTTGTGTGACACTTTATGATTATAAATTGAATTGATTTCTTCAAAACTTAGTACTGAATTTTATTTATTATTTCAACATTATATGGATCGCAGGTCCTTTCTCTCATAAAAGGTTTCATATTAGAGAAATCAGCTGTTGCCCAAACTGATGTTAGGTATTTAAAATTCGAATAAATTGAAGTAAAAAAAGTGTTTTCAAATATTTAAATGGAATTATATTTCTCATTTCATAAAATATACCTACAAGAGGTGCAATTTCCTTTCCAAGTTGACTGATATGTGAATTCCATGATGAATTCTTATCTGAGTATAAGCCTAAAAGTTTAATCCTTTTTTAAATTTCATCAAATTATTATTGAAATTAAGGAAAAAAGTTTTGTTAGCTGAATTTGTTCTAGATATAACCGCATTGCAAGATTTATCAAAATTTAAATGCAACTCGAGAAATTCCCATCAGAAAGATAACTAGTATTATGATCTCTCACAGCCCCCTAATATGGTATTTTCATAAAAGTCAATGAGGGTTATGTCATCGGCAAGATGACTGATGAAACGACATAGAAATGGTGTAAATTAGAATTAGAGTTGGACCTAAAACAGAACCTTGACGAACTCCACACTCAATATTTTGATTGATGAAGCCAATCAAAACATTGACGCCAGCCATGAAAGCCTACATTCCTATATCCACACTTGATGGTTTTCAATGATTTTTTTTTCTGTATATAAGTCACTGCTTTCTGTTGCTAAGATAATTTTGAAACCATTTTAGTACTATTCCTCAAAGCCAATAAGGTTCAACTTTTGTAGAAGAATATTATGATTCACTGTATCGGATGCCTTCCGGAAATCAACTGATAACATACCACAAACACTATTTGACTTTAATTGAAGTTGGATATTGTATACCATATCCAATACTCTGTATCACTCAAATCTTTTTTATCTGTCCCATTAACCAATTTCTTAAATTTGTGTTTGAAAGTACTGCTGTAAATTTTCCGCACACTGGTAGTATTCGGTTTCAGGTGAGTTATAAATATTACAGTTGGTGAAAATTCGCATCATATCAGCTATGATGCTGGATACATAGTACCTCGATTTCAGCATATCAGTCATTGTTTTGGGATCTGTGTACAAATATTAAGCTCAATAGGTGTTTGTTCAGTTGAAAAATATAGACCACGTTTACACAGCACCTTGAAATATGATTTTAACAACTGATGTTACTAAAACCAACGTTAACATCTATGTTGTCAGACTGGTTTAATTATGCTAAATCTTTTGAAAAGATGAGATGAGATAATAAAGATGTAAGTGCATTGAATGTATCAAGATTTAAGCTTGTGATAGATATAGAATTTTTTTTTCATTTTGAAAAAATTAAGTATGGATGAATTAATGGTGCACTAGCTGTCTTTTCATCAGATTTGCAGGCAGTTAGGTACAAGTGTGTTATGTTAGCAAAAATATTAATCTGAAACAGGTTTTTATAAAGGTAGTACTGGCACGATCCACGTGTTACACAGGAACCAAATTGCTATGAAAACATGTGTAAACGTGGTTATCGTCATCTTCATAATAATGTGGTACATTTACAGTTAATTATATGAATGACTGCAGCAAACAGTGTCGATTTCATTTTATTTGGGTCACTCTGCACAATTTTTTTTCACGAATTTGATAAACTCTATATTTTGTACACCTCAATACATTTTTTCTTTATTTTCTACAAATCTAACCTGAAATGAATGAAACAGAAGTCTGCTTCATTAAAAAATAATAGATTTGTTCGATTGATGACTTATTTATTTTGTAGAAATTCATGTTGAATATAGAATAAAGAAAATACTTTTGTCTAGTTTCTACTGTGTTTATTTATTCGTTACGACCGGTTTCGGCTTATAAGGCCATTTTCAAGTAACTACCACAAATTGTCAAGTTGCCTCTTAAATAGTGTGGACAGGTATCTGCTCTAGGTACCTGATCTAACACGTTACCAATATTACAATATGTCGCGATTACCAACTATTGGATGGAAACATGAAAATTCTTCATAGATGTAACAAAGGAAGGGAGATGAATAATAAATTCAACGCTTCCAATAAGGAAGCGTTGGAAATAAATAAATTGTACTAGGACCCCAAGTTCATAACGCTCAACGACCAACTAGATCTATGCAGCTCGCCCTTTTTGAATTTAGGAATTTTAGGATCCATTCAATAGTTGGTAATCGTGACATATTGTAATATTGGTAACGTGTTAGTTCAGGTACCTAGAGCAGATACCTGTCCACACTATTTAAGACGCAACTTGACAATT